AACGGCTGCGGTTCCCATGCGCTGACACCGGGGTGTTGTGTTTTCCAGTCCCCTCCCAGCCAAACCGAGCTGCTCTGCTGTCATCTTCGTGCTGCGATCTTCTTCACTCCCCATCCCACACCATAGCTGGGCGCTGTCCTACAGCTGCAGCCTCCCTCCCCAGAGCTGGCCGCGTTTCCAAGAGTGGAAGCAGCTGTTTGCATCCCCCTGGCTCATACCCGATCGTGCGGTGGGCATGGGAGGGCATTACTGACAGCTGCGCAGGAGCCCAGAGCTGCTCCAGTTCAGCCTGCAGCCTAGACTGGGCCTTTAGGCACGGTGGTTCTTGGCTCTGTGCAGCTCCTGATGCAGCGCCCCTCTGCCCGTGTCTGCTCCCCTGCACATCTCTGTGCACACAGCAAAATCCCTGGGGTCGCAGGGAAGCCAGAACCGGGTGGAGGAAGCTCATGCTCGTCCCCGTGGGGTCCCTTGGTGCTGGCAAGGCTGCCGGGAGGCTCAGAAAGACAGAGCCATTTGCACTGGCACTGGGCTTCTGCTGCTGATCACATTTCTCCCTCGCTGGGAATTGCGTGGAGCTTCCTTTAAAAGGCTTCACTTGGCCAGAGTGCATGTCCCTGCCTCCTCCCGCTGTCCACAGGGCCACGGGGAAACTGCATGGCATTTTCGGTCAGATGGCATTGGCATCCATTTGCCTGCCCAGCCTTGCTGGGCGCCAGCTTCTCACCTCCCCTGGGAGGCTGGATCCAGAGGGGTTAACTCCAAGCTCATCCTTGATGCTGATTTTCTTTCTGCAAGGTTTTGATCCTTACCTAAAGGCCCAGCTGGAGCTGCTGCGTGGATACCTGCCCTGCCAGGAAGGTCTTTTGTCCCCCCTGTGTGTGGGGCACTGAGATCTGGGGCACCAGGCTCTGGAGCATCCTGTGCCAGGGCTGGAAACGTGCCTGCGAGGGCCTGAGCTGCTGCAGAAAGACGGAAGGTGCCGTTTCCAAGAGGTTTCCCGCCTGCAGGTCTCCAAGCCAAAGCTGAATGTCAGGCCACGTTTCCTGACAGCTGGCAGGAGCCGCACGGCTGTGGCAAACTTTGCCAAGGGGGAAACCTGCCATTTGGCATGGCGCACGCTGGAGGACAAAGCCCCTGCAAAAGGATCGTGGGCGTCAGCCCTGCCTGGGGGGTAGCACTGGTGGAGGTGCCTGGCCCATCTCCATGGCGCAGCCTCTGCTTCCTTTGCTCCTGGCGCTGGCATTTTCATTCCTCTGCCCATGCCTCCTGTGTCAGCGGCTGGGCCTGGCGGGGAGCAGAGAGGGCCACCAGGCAGAGGGGGAGTCTCCCCTCTGCATACTGGTGCACAAGTCCGCCCCACCGCAACCCTAGCACCGGGAGTGAGTGGGGACTTGGACTGCAGCCTAGCACTCCCTGCCGAAGGAGTCCTGCTCTCCCTGCAGTGCACGCAGCAGGCTCAGAGGAATACGTGGACCCCTTCGTTTTGGGATGCCCGGTGTAAGATGCCCCCCGAATGGAGGCACTCCAGAGTAGACCCAAAAGGTCCCACACCAGGAGCCAGGGATGGACTCCAGTTCGCCTCATGCTTGCACCACCCGTGGTGCGGCGAGCTGCACGAGCCAGGCCCCACGTCCAGCTCACGAAGCAAGCGGGAGAGTTGCTTCGCACGGCTATGGGCAGTGGCAGTAAGGGGCATCCCTGGCACTGCTTGCAGGGTGCAGATGAGACCTCCACCCGCCTCTGAGCAAGGGGCTGTGTAGCCGGGACCGGAGCTGGAGGGAAGGGGCAGTGCGGGGTTAGGGGCAGAGCTGGAGTAAAACTGGCATTAGCCAGCTCCCTCCCAAATCTCGATGGACAAGCACAGCCAGCAGACAGGAAGCTCACGGCAGAGAGGAAGTCGGGAGCGCACAGTCGGCTCTGCCGGTCCACACCCCGCGGCCGCCCGTCGACCACGGTCCTGGTTGACACCGATGCGACGCAGAGGAGACTCACCGCCTTGGCCACCTGTCTGGTTCCTTGTGTCCAGTCGTCCGGGAACAGATTTGTCAGAGGAGATTTTCCAAACCCCTTTAGGCCCTGACCCACTTCGGGCGCCGCGCAAAACACCGTCAGCGGATTGATCGCGGCGTGGTGCCAGCCAGCAACGATGTCACTGTAACTTCCCCGCCAGTCAGGGCCATGGGGTTGCCATGGCGAAGGCTGTGATCTCGTAAAGAATGGGATTATCTGATGCTGAGCGGGCCCAGGCGGGACAGGGACCCTGGGAGGACGGGGCGAGAGGGAGAGAGCCGGTCGGAGGGGATGGGGAGGCGGAGCGGCGTTGTCGGTCCTCCCCGGTCCCTGCCTACGAATGCTCAGGATGAGCAAAGTCCCGCTGCCGCCGTGCCCTGGAGCCCACGCGGCTGCAGGGACGTGGCTCGCGTTACCTGCCCCCGTGTCCCGCAGTGCTGGCAGTGCCCAGGGACACGCTCCCAGCGTCTCAGGTCTCCCATCTCCCGTACGAAACCCCGTCTCCTCGCCGAGGCGAGGAAGGAGCCTCGTTACGAGGAGCTCTCGGATGGCCGTGGCAGCGTTCGGCGCCAGGGTTTCCCAATCAGGACGTCAGCACCAAACGCAGGCCATTAGGCTGCCAGGGGAGGTGAGCCCCTGTTGCCACACGGCTCGCAGCACAGCTCTGGCATTGCTTTGCAAGGTCCTCCCGGGACAGCACCACTGCCCGAGCCCAGGGCGGGCTCCGGACTCCTGTTAATATTGTATAGACGTCAACGGCAGCTGCTGGTAATCGAAGGCCTGACTTGTGGCTTTTCAGCCTCCTGTTCCCAGGAAGCACCGATGCCCCTTTCCTCGCCACTTGCCAATGACTCGGACTTAGCGAGGGGCGAGGAGAAGCCCTGGTTTCCGCCCGGCAGAGGCTCTGGGCTGCGAGAAGCCGGGAGGGCTGCCGGGGCACTGTCAAAAGGGTTTAGGTGCATTGGCTTCCCTGGGTTGGCCGTGGGATGGTGTCCCTTCAGTGCGTCTGAGACTCCCCCCTTGAAGGTGGATTTGTTCACCGGGACGTGCAGCCTCCAACACTACAGCTCCCAGCATGCAACACACTCTCTGGATCCCAGCAGCCAAGCCAGGGTGGAGGATGGCATGATGGGGCCTGTAGTCTCCGCGACCTGCATCCTTCGCACGAGCTGCTGAACCTGTTGGACCGCCTGGCTTTGCTGATGGGAGCCAAGGCTTCGTCCCCTGAGCATCTGCTGACTTCAACGGGTCTCGGATGTGGGACAAGCGCCCTGCGGGGAGACGGACGGGATGCGGCCCGCTGAATACCCACTGCCCCAGCGCTGTGCTTGACTTAGAGACGGGGATCCCAGCGCCGGGTGCTGAGTGTCCGTCTCCACTGGGAACAAGGCGTGGAGGGTTCAACGTCCCCCGTCAGTCCCCGGAGCCGGCCAGACCCCACACACAGTGGATCCGCGATGAAAGCAAACTCCAGTACTGTATTATCAGTCAGGGGCAGGGCTTTCCAAGCTGATCACTGAATTACTTTGGTATCGGCCTGCTTTCCTTCCAGGGGAACGTCACCCGGCGGCCGGCCTGCCCCGACAGCTGTGCTATAGGGGGCTCGTGAGAATGAGGATTAAGAAAGGAGGCAGGAGAAATTGCTGGGGATTAACGACATGGAAGCCGCTGGGTGGTGACAAGAGAGGCTGGAGCAGGGCCTGGAGCCTGGGGTGCGAGGAGCAGGAGCTGGAGGGCAAAGGGGAGACTGAATGGGCAGGAGGGGAAGGGGCAGGGTTGCACCAGCTGGAAGGATGTGGGCGAGGGAGCAGGACAGGAGATGGTGGGTGCAGATGCAGCGGGCTAGGAGGGCAAGGGGTGGAGGGAGGGGTAGTGACATGGGGGTCACAGACACCCTCCCCCTAGTCCTGGCCTGATTTGCCCAAGTCCCAGAGAGCCTCGCTGAAGCCAGGCTTGTGGCTGGAGCTCAGCACAAAGGGCAAATTCCTTCCCTTACAACAGCCAAGTGCCTCCAGCACCCCCGGCTGCAGCTTTGCGTAGGGAGCTTCCCCCCCCAGCCCGGGCGCTGCAGCCAGGCGCCTGCCCCCGTCTGCGTGACCCCCAGGACCGACCAGACACTGGTGTGTGCTGAGCTCAGCAAGGGCGCAGAGGCCAGATCGACTGCCCTGAGCCTGTTCCAGGTCTTGTGAAACGGGTGATGCTGCTGCGGGGAGGCAGGAAGAAGGAGAAAGGGGAGCAGAGCCCAGGGGAGGACGGTGCACGGGCTCGGGCCTGCAACGCCAGGGCCCAGGAAGGAGACCGAGGGGATTCGCTCCCCTCTCTGGATCTCCAAGGACTGTACAACTATGGAGACAGGCGACGGGGTTTATGCTGGCGTCCGTCGCCTGCATCCAACTTGGGTTAAAAAAAAGAAGTGGCTAGATGATATTTGCCGCTACCTTGGGGGATGTTGCCCGGTCTGGAAGACCCTGGGACTGTCAGTGCTACCAGTTCACATGTCATCCGCCTGGGTCCGCCCTGCTGGGGCAAAATGGCTAATAAACCTTTTGATGGATCCTCGCGCTCGGCAGCGTCACGCTGGTGTGCGGGGAGAATTGGACCCACTGTTGCGGCGGCGAGGCTCATGGTTTCCAGGGCTCTCCCATCCCCACCAGGTCTGAGCTCTGCGGATGTCCCGCTGCTGCGTGCCCCCAGAAAGGGAAGCCTGGTTCCTCTTCCTCCTCCTCCTCCTCTCTTTTGTAGATCAGCTTCCAAATCCAGGAGCCTCTTCTCTGGGGGCTGCCCCATCCCAGGGGCACAGGTGGGCACTGGCCCCCCCACCCTGGAGACTTCCCATGCCCCGCCCCTTTTGGGGGCACTTGGCAAGGAAAGGGTTAAGCCAAAACCACACCCTCTGGGGTTTGGGGGACCAATCCGGGGGGGTGGGCGGGCCCGGGCTGCAATGTTGTGAAGGTGGCATCAGCCGCTGTGTAGCAGATGCTGCTGGGCAGCTGGAGGGGGAGGCAGGGACCTGGGGCTGGACAGGGCAGCCCATGGGAGCAAGAGCGAGGGCCAGCGAGACCAGGCAGGCGGATCAGTAGCCGGAGGGGTGCAGAGAGGGTGGGAGATGCGGGAAAACCTGGGAATCCGAATCAACTGGGGGAGAGCGAGCGAGCGACAGAGCTAGACATCCAGAGAGGGACAAAAGCAGAGCAGGCAAGATAAATACCCAGGAAGAGGGAAACCCGCTGACCAAGCTGAGAGGCGTGTGGTGGGGGAGGAAGAATCTGGGCCCGGGGGGAAATCGTCCAAGGGACCATAAAGGAGGCGAGCGAGGAGCTCGCGCAGTGAGACCCGCCTGCATGCAGGATCTAGGAGGCACCCCAAGTCTTGCCTCTCCCTGCCGGGGGTGCGCACGCGGCTGTAGTTACACCTGCTCAGCCTAGAGGGTGTCATGCTGCCGGCACCCAGCGAAGCGGGAGGGAATCGGTGCCCGCCCGCACAGATAACTCTCCCCGGCAAGAGAAAGGGCAAAGCAAAGGAGACCTAAGGGCACGCCGCGTCGTCCTCCAGGAGTCCCAGATACCACAGAGGATGCAGACGGACTTCGCGCCACTCAGGGGCTGAGACCTGGCTTCATCCCCGGTGCAGAGGGGCACGCGTGTGAGCCCTGGGATCTCTCTCACTGGAAATGCACCTTGAACGCAGCAAGGAGCCAGAAGCCAAAGCTCCCCCGAGGCAAGTGGACTGGAGCCCCGGCGCCTGCCCCGACGCTCTCCCATGGCCGAGGAAGCGGTGCGCTCTAGCTACGGACCAGTGAAGGTAAAGGGGAGACGGAGACCCAGGGCTGCAAGCGGGTGTCTGGGTGGCAGCGTTAGAGGGAGCCGCTCCGAGACATTTATCTGAGTGCAAACTTCTCCTGAGCAGAGGCTGCAGTGGCGGGGTCGGCGTGGGCTATTCTGCATCAAACCAGGACAGCAAATGGGGAAGCCGGTGACGACGACACAGACGCTGACCGCCGGAAAAGCAGCAGCGTGACCTGTCTCGCCCGGGGTTTGGGCAGCCGGGCCGAAGCCGGATGGAAAAGGAGCTGTTGCTCAACTCGGTTTCGTGCTGAAAGACTGTTGCGTGGTACCGAGGGGAGCGGGCCAGCCTGGCACTCGCGTGGCACCCTGAAATCGAAGGGCGCCGGTGATGCTGGGGCAGGTTTGCTATTAAGCCTTCGCCACGGGGGAGCAGGTTTTCAAATTAAAAACGCAGGCAGAGTCCCTGACCAAGCACGCGATGCTGGAAGCGGGGAGAGAGCGTACGGGGTTAATCCGGGGTAAGCACTGACTTAGAAGCAGTACTGAACAGCCCGGGCCCTGTTCGGACGCCGGCACATTGTGCCTCTCCCACGGACTTTCCCTCCCGAGCCCGCTCCCCCGCATGGGCTCACCCGAGCCCGCCGGCTGACACCCCCCGCCTCCTGCGTTAGATGAGGAGCCAGGCTTCCCGATGAACCTATGCAGATCAGGAAGAAATATATTTTCATGACTCTCTTTGCCTCTTGGCTTCTGCTCTTCTTCTTCGGTGGAGACCAAATCAGACGCCTCGCCTTCCTCTCCAGAAGGAAAACGGACGCTCTGAAGACCTGGCCCCGCTGGACCGACGCGACCCTCCTGCCGAGCTTTGTGGGCCCCGGAGACCTTCAGGGCGATGGAGGCCCCCACCAGCCGTCGCCCAGGGCCAGGAGGGCCGCGAGAATGAGCATCTACAAGAACAGCAGGTGCCGCATGGAAACCTGCTTCGATTTTTCCAAATGCGAGAAGCACGGTTTCAAAGTCTTCGTCTACCCCGCGGAGAGAGGGGACCCGGTGTCCGAGAGTTACTTCAAAATCATCACTGCGCTCGAGGAGTCCCGCTACTACACCTCCAACCCCGAGGAAGCCTGCCTCTTTGTCCTGAACCTGGACACTTTGGACAGGGACCATCTCTCCGTCCAGTACGTCCACAACATCAACGAGAAGATCCAAGGCTTGCCTTTGTGGAACGACGGCCGAAACCACCTGATCTTTAACCTTTACTCGGGCACTTGGCCCAACTACACCGAGGATCTGGGCTTTGACATCGGACAGGCCATCTTGGCCAAGGCGAGTTTTTACGTGGAGCGTTTCCGGCCCGGCTTCGACATCTCCATCCCCTTGTTCTCCAAGGACCATCCGCAGAAGGGCGGGGAGAGGGGCTGGCTGGCCCGCAGCTCCGTGCCTCCCAAGAAGAAGTACTTGCTGGTTTTTAAAGGGAAGCGGTACCTGACCGGCATCGGCTCCGACACCAGGAACGCGTTGCACCACATCCACAACGGCAAGGATATCATCTCGCTGACCACGTGCAAGCATGGGAAAGACTGGGAGAAGCACAAAGACGCGCGCTGCGACAAGGACAACACCGACTATGAGAAGTAAGTCCTTTGCGAGCTCGGCGTGGCCACGTTCCCGCGTGTCCGGTGGGACGTGCCTCGAGTTAAGGGCAGAGAATGGGCCCGCACACGTGCCGAGGTAAAAGGAGGGACCCAGGATCCAATCCTCGTGCATGGCCGAGGGGCTCAGTGGGGCTTTGCTGATTTACATCAGCTGATGACCTAGTCTAGCGTAAGGTGAGCCCGGTAGCAGATGGAGGGGAATTGCTCTGGCTATCTTCCCTCCATCCCCTGCCATAGCCCCAGCCAACAAAGCAAGACTCAGTTTCCCTTGTGGAAAGCAAAAGCCTGGACATTCAGGGCTTCCCTGCTCTGTGTCGACACTGAAATGCTTTCGTGCAAGCTGCTCTGACCTGCGATCGGCCAGGCTGCCCTTTTCATGTGATTTCCTTCTCTCTGGATGCCAGCAGAGATGGATGATACTACCCCCCCAAAAAAAAAGAAAAAAGAAAGAACAAAATAAAAGTCTAAATACCTTTACTGGGGATGAGCCCAGGGAACCCCCCGTTTCCAAGGTGAGCACCTGCCCAGCGTTCGGGGCGCCTGAGATCCAGACGCAGGCCTGTGGCTCTCAGCCCTTGCCAGTGGCTGGTTGTAGCAGCCTACTGATTCGAAATGGACTCGGTGGCATGGTGGGGATGGGGATCGCTGCGGACCAGCGGCATTGCGCTGGGTTGGAGAGCTCCCGTTCTCCATCCCAAGTGGCGCTGCGGGTCCCCAGCCCCGTCAGTGGGATCCAGCATGTCCAAAGCAAGGCTTGAAGGACCTGCTCCTGGGGCCCCCGTTGCTATAAATGCACCTTTTGGTCACTCAGCATCACTCTGCCTCTGGCAGGTGGAGATGGCCCCAGAGGCCCCTCTCTGCTGGGAGCCTGACCCCACTGACCTTGGCCCTACCAGGGCTCCCTCAAACTTTCT